AGTATCTTCCCTATGCCACTACACCAAATCCTGGACTCAAACTTCAGAGCCAAATTGAACCTACAAAATAAAGACCAATGCAAATTTGTAGGAACATGCTGGTAATCATGAGGACTTCCAACCAAAACCTACTGTGAGATTAGGTCCAAATGGTTCTCCTTAAATTTCAATCATAAGAACCCAGACAGATCAAAATTTCAGCCAACCTGGCCAGGCACCTTGGCTCATGCCTGTAATTCCAGCACTTTGGGAGGCTGAGGCAGGAGGACCACTTGAGGCCGCGAGTTTGAGACCAACCTGGGCAACAAAGCAAGACCCCATCTCTATAAAAATAATTTTAAAATTAGCTCATCAATGAGCTAGATGACTTCTATTCAGACAAAAAGAAGTAGCTTCCAAGAAATCTCAGGAACTCTTAAATTAAGGACATGTAATATAAAATTAGGTAATCATATTTTCCTACACGCAAATTTCCTACACACATAATTAAACACTGCATTTGAGAAAATAAGCATATGCTGTAAGGAAAATATGGTGCAGAAATCACAACTAAGGTATTACATAAACCCACATTATTCAGAATTTAATAACAGTCATGATAGGCTAGGTGAGGTGGCTCAGGCCTATAATTCCAGCACTTTGGGAGGCCAAGGTGGGTGGATCACAAGGTCAGGAGTTCGAGACCTGCCTGGCCAACATGGTGAAACTCTGTCTCTACTAAAAATACAAAAATTAGCTGGGCGTGGTGGTAGGTGCCTGTAATCCCAGCTACTCAAGGAGGCTGAAGTAGGAGAATCACTCAAACCTGGGAGGAGGAGGTTGCAGTGAGCCAAGATCATGCCACTGCACTTCAGCCTGGGTGACAGAGCAAGACTTTGTCTCAAAAATAAATAAATAAATATGGTGTTCACATAAAAAGATCCTGCTACAAATGTGCAAGGAGGAATGTGGGGGCGAGACAATGTAAAACAGTAAATAAGGAACAGCGTGGGGAAAAAAAGAAACAACTTAAATTCCATAGTCACATTCATACTACCTCTAAAATCTTGGGCATATAGCTTCCTCATCTAAGAAACAGGGATGATGATAATATCTGTATTGCAGAGTGATCATTAAAACTAAAAATGTAAATACCTCAAGCATTTTGAATATAGCAGTAACTTAGAAATGGAAATCATCATTATTATTATCACTATGATCACATCCACTAACATTTTCAAAAAGCACAATTTGTAAAATCATACCCAAAGTACATATCTTTTGCATGTGGTTAAGTTGAATACATAATGAAAATATACTGATGTCAGTTCTCTGCAATGGACATATGTGAGAAAATTAGAACCCATCTGTGTGTGTGTTTCTAAAAATAAGCATGTCACATTCTCAGGAGAGTTAGTCAATCTATCAATACTAGTGCTAGACCTTTTCAGCAGACAATCCTATTCTGCCTTTCAAGGTACTGATGAGCCCAGCTCTAAATTCTTAGTACACAAAGACTCTCACATAAGTTAATGGGAAGTCAATGGGAAATTGACTTTTCCTATCCTGTGCCGGTTGGAATGCAATGCTGTTAATCATCCTATCCTTCTTGTTCTCTTTCCTCCTACCCTAAATTAAAACTACTGGCGGAAACCCATAGTTTATGGTTTTCATTACAATGAAACAATATCCTGGTTGAAGTTGAAGTCTATCAAAAACCTACAACCTAAATGTTGACTAAGATTAGAGTCTCAATGAAAAGCAACAGTCCTGATTCCATCATTTCCACATGATTCCAAATGATTCCATCATTTGCATTTGTATAGAACTTTTAACTTTTCAAAGGGCTTTCACATCTATTCTCCCAACTGATCATTACAATGCCTTGTGCAGTATAAAGGACAAGTATTATTATCCACAATTGACAGATGAGGCAGCTACAGCACTGAAAGGTTAAGTGATTTGCCTAAGGCCAAGAAATCTCAGTACAGCTAAGGTCTCCTGACTTCCAGTCCAGTGCTCTTTCTACCAGACACTGGAAAAGGTTTTATAAACAGATTATAAACTCAGATGCAATAAAACATAACTTGAGAGGGAGGCTCAAATCAAGGTTCAGATAACCTATGTTCCCTCATGAGAGTTGCATTTCTCAAGCTTAGTACTGAAGCTTCAGAAATAGGCCCTTTACTCTTGTTTACTTCAGTATCAGACAAATGTTAATGCAGATTTTCAGTAAAATTTTAAACAGAAAAGAAAAGTCATTTCAGAATATATTCAAATCACTTTGATTCAGTAAGTAACCCTGTAGTTCATTTTCGGTGGGAGTAGGATGGGTTGTGCATAAATAACCAAGAGCACATCTTTAAATCGTGTATCCATATTAAGCCTGCAGCTACACTGCAACTATAGTCTGGAAGGGTGAGAGAGATCTCCAGTTGAAAGTAGATTTTGAAAAATTTTTTTAGAGCCCAGGGGTTCATTTTTAATGAGCCGTTACTTTAAGTACTGCATAAAAAATACAGGAAATTGATAGTCCATTTAGTCTGCACCATACCTAATGCAAAAGTCATTAAGATGCATTATTCTTAATGTTTATGATATGATCAGTAAGTGTCTTTGAAAATAATGCCCCTAACTTTCATATACGGAAATCCTTGAAACCTTTACCTATTATATAGTAAAATGTATGGCAATTGTGATTTATCACGTCTTTACTATGCCCAAGAAACAGCATCCTCAATTATGTTAACGCTTCACAAAAAATAATCTTCATTTGTTGTATACTTACATATGACAGCATTGCCTTCATTTCTTCATCACTTCTCACTGTAATTCGATCACCATCTTCATCTTCATCTGTTTAAAAGCAACATAATGCAAATGATAAGGTGTGTATTTGTTTAACGCACAAAGGGAACATAATACAACTGGTTTATTACAACGTGATATCCTAACTGTCAATGCCACTTTTTGGGGGGATGTTGAGATAATTAGTTTTTTGTTTTGTTTTCCATTTGGAAAATATGATCAGAATCTCAATATAAAACTAAAACTTTCTTTTAGAGATAGCAGAAAATTAAAATATGGCTCATGTCATTCACAACACATACTAGGTTAAACTAAATATAACTGGAATATGACAAAATGGGTTTGGTTTGGGGAACTTTAAAAACCAAAGAGAGATCAGTTTTGGTCTCCCAAACAGCACTATATCCCGATTTCTCCATTCTTCCTCTCTCCCAGGCAATCTATCATGTGAGAACAGCATGATAGATATGGCTAACACTTACTGAACACTATTATAGATGAGGCACTGTGATCTATGCTTCACATGCAATATCTCCTTAAAAAAATCATAACAAACCTATGACATGGACATCATCTACTGTCCTCTTTTCACAGGAGAAGCTGGGCCTAGTGCAAGGTTAACTGGTAAAGCAGCTCCAACACAGTTCTCTCTACCCCGTTATGGTTAGCAGCCCTTTCTGAACAGTTTCACTTGTTCTGCGTACTCTCCAACCATAGTAAGCTTCAAATGCTATTCATGCTACTTTGAAATAATTTAAATCTCAAGGCTGGAGGACAAGACTTCACCAACTACACAACCAGAATGTGTAAATTTGAATAAGTATCATCAGAGACCACATCTAGAAATAATGTACTTATTCCATGATCCTTCACTTATTCAAAGTAGTTTTTGAAATATCTCTTCAAAACTGCTTTAAAACCCTATAGGCTGAGTGAGAGTATTAAACCTCATTTTTAACCCAAAAAGGAATTGCTGGCCTGATTGCTCACCCACACCATCTGCCAGGCATATCTAAGAAGGACTTATGGCTACTTCTAAATATATAGTTAGCTATTCATCCTTCTGTAAAGATATGTCAACAATGAGGCCAACCTAGGTGGTAGACTCTAAATGCACAGTTGAAAGAAATGCCAAAAACATCTTGAGCGACGTATAGAGCCTCCCAAGGGGACAACTTGGAAGGGACAGGCTCTTGGTAGGATGCCTCAACTCTGGTATGCCTGTTAAAATCAGAATTACTATTTTTGTTCACTCTTGGCAATATAATTACTGATTTGATCATATAGAAAGGCTGTTCTGACCCCAGGCTTGGAGAACCTCAGCTAAATCTCTCATCATGAAGAGAATAAGCCTGCACAACATGCTCGGGGAACGCTTACTGAAAGTACACAGGGATTTCAGTTCAACACAGGGATCTTCCCCCCGCCACAGGTCAGTGAGTCTTCCCTCCTGTAGTTCCAAGGATACCCCCTTGCTCGGTGACTAGGCTGTGGGGACCCTAGGAGGAAGCGTGTTCTCTTTCATAATTAGCTTATTTTCAAGCAAAATACTTTCTCCCTTTATCTCTTCAGTAGCCAACAGCAATCTGATAGCATGATAGAAACCAACATTTCCACCAGCCCCATTCAGTGACCCACAGCTGTCATTCAGGTTTTCTTTCCAAGCATTTGTTTCTGGATCCTGGTTCACTCCTGCAGAGTTCCCCAACTCAGTGTGAATCAGCATCACCAAGATCACACTGTCTAAATCCGGGAGAGCCATTACCAGTATTCTGTTATTAAGAGTTGCCTGTTTTCAGAGTAAAAGGCATACACTGGTCACGTTCAGTAACGAAGACAGCACAGTCCTGAGAGAGGTTATACACATAAAGAACTATATAGGAATCTAGCACTTTTTCTTTCCTTTGTTCACTTTAGATACAAAATCTCTAGGGCCAAATTGGGAGAGAAATGCCATTCTAGCTGTAGAAAGAGAAGAAAGGAGTCCCTATATATAGGTTCTAGAAACTACTATTTTCAAGGTTAAGGTGAAAGTTTTCTTAAAAATGCAGGAGACAGGAAAAAACAGAGTACAAAAGGATATAAAGTTACATATCACCACACACGAAAGCACTTTACATTTCTGCTATAAAACCAGGTCAAATTCTGTTTAAATGTAAGCTAAACTGATGTTCTTTATGAAGTCACGAACTTGGAATAAAAACAATTTCCAGCCTGAATAAAGTGGTTTTTAAAATAAATCTCATTTCTGCAACTAAGCTAGCTATAGAGATGATGGTTACAAAGAGACTGCTTATATTCAAATTTCAATATACACAGGACCTGAGTAAGGTATTGTTCACACAGGATGGGCAGGTGCTTATATTTTGGTAAAACAGGTGAAAATCCTTCTTATAAATTCTAAAGAAAGGGCACCAATTACAGAAAGATCATTTCAATCGCAATCATGAACAAAAGGAAAGTTCAACTTCTCAAAGCTAGGGCTTTAACCTTTAAGGTTAAACCAAAACATTCTGGAATTCTAAATTTCTAAGAAATCTCTTAAGGGAGTATTTCAGAAGAAAAAGATCTGTGAAAGAAGTCAGCTACCAGCATAATTTCTTGTTGAGAAGTTGCAAAAAAAGAAACATTACAAGAGCATTTGCTTAAGTGGACAGAAAACTAAGGTCAAAAGACTAGAATAGCTTTTGACATCGACCCAGTGATAAAATGTTGGCACTATCCCATAAGGGGGTCTGACTCCAAAAGAAAGATTTCAGATAAGATGAAAGAGGCGCCGGGCGCGGTGGCTCACGCCTGTAATCCCAGCACTTTGGGAGGCCGAGGCGGGTGGATCACGAGGTCAAGAGATCGAGACCATCCTGGTCAACAT